TACTTCTCCAAGAAAGTTATACTTTACTGATTACTTATTTTCAAAATTAGTTACTTAATTATTTAGTTACTTTAAAAAAAAAACCCTGATATACAACCTGAATACATTAAAAAACAATAGACCTTTCAGCCCAATTTTATTTTCTCTGCATCATATAAAATGTAATCAAATGAAAAAGTCTCTCTTTATGTTTTATTAGTTTTAATCTTTTAACTTTATGCACACTGCATCAAGCAAAAATGAAATTATATGCAGCTGTCTTTGACTTGAAGAAATTTGTTTAACATTTAAACCTATTTTGTGCATATTCCAGCATATAAAAAAAAATAATGTTTTTGTGTTTACACTCCCTCTTTGAAATAGATGCAAGTAAAACACAGCAGAAAATAAATAAAATTAAAGATTCAGCAGCTCTGAGTCCTGTCACTTTAAATCTATTTTCAGCTGTTTAGCAGGAGTGGGGCTGGTGGAGGTTTGCCCGGTGCAGCAGCGGTCATCACAGCGGGGGTTTCTCTGTGAATTTCACCTTCCTGTGGCAGCGTGGTGCTTGCTCAGATTTGAAGTTTCATTTTTCGCTGTAGAAAGAAGTTTTCTTTCCACGCAGAGTAACAGCAGACGCTGATGTTTCTGTCACTTTTTACAGAATCCAACTCAAAGTAATGTTGATACATTGTTGATCTGCACACGTCTGTTGCTGCCACGGACATCGCACACTCGTACGTCATTGTCATGAGCAGTGTTGGTCAAGTTACTTGAAAAAAGTAATCAGTAACTAATTACTGATTACTTCCCCAAAAAAGTAATCCAGTTACTTTACTGATTACTTATTTTCAAAAGTAATTAATTACTTAGTTACTTAGTTACTTTTTAAAAACAACAACCTGAATAGGTGATAAAGCGATAGATCTTTCAGCCCCAATGTAATCAAATGGAAACATCCTTTTTTAAAACTTGTTTTATTAGTTTTAATCTTTTAACTTTATGCATCAAGCAAAAATTAAATTATCTGCAACATTCTCTGACTGGAAGAAATTTGTTTAATATTTAAACTTATTTTCTGCACATTCCAGCACATAAAATAAAATATTTTTTGTGTTTCCACTCAG